TCTCTCGCCTGTCTCCTCTCTCAACTCCCCCTCTCTCTCTCTCCGCTCTCTCTCTCTCTCTCTCTCCTCTCCCTCTCTCTCGCTTCCTCTCTCTCTCTCTCTCTCTTCCCTCTCTCTCTCTCTCTCTCTCTCTCTCTCTCTGGCGACTAGGAGGCCCGGGTCGACTCCTCTTTGGGAAGCCAAAATGCTGCCCCTGGCAGCGTTTGGTGACTATGAAGCCCCTGGTGGACCCCCCCTGGGGCTCCCAAATGATGCCCCTGGCAGCGTTTTGCGACCATGAGGCTCTCAAGAGATACATGTTGGGGACGCCAAACGGCAATTCTAGCTGAGGCGTCCCACCAAAATCGGCGCGAACGGGCTCGTGAGATCAGCCAGGGTGGCTCCCCCTTGGGGCTCCCAAATGATGCCCCTGGCAGCGTTTTGTGACCATGAGGCTCTCAAGAGATACATGTTGGGGAGGCCAAACGGCAATTCTAGCTGAGGCGTCCCACCAAAATCGGCGCGAACGGGCTCGTGAGATCAGCCAGGGTGGCTCCCCCTTGGGGCTCCCAAATGATGCCCCTGGCAGCGTTTTGTGACCATGAGGCTCTCAAGAGATACATGTTGGGGGGCCAAACGGCAATTCTAGCTGAGACGTCCCACCAAAATCGGCGCGAACGGGCTCGTGAGATCAGCCAGGGTGGCTCCCCCTTGGGGCTCCCAAATGATGCCCCTGGCAGCGTTTTGTGACCATGAGGCTCTCAAGAGAGACATGTTGGGGAGGCCAAACGGCAATTTTAGCTGAGACGTCCCACCAAAATCGGCGCGAACGGGCTCGTGAGATCAGCCAGGGTGGCTCCCCCTTGGGGCTCCCAAATGATGCCCCTGGCAGCGTTTTGTGATCATGAGAGAGTGTGAGTGTGAGTGAATGTGACTGTGAGTGAGTCTGAGTGAGAGTGAGTCTCATCTTATCTTATCGAGTCCTATCTTATCGAGTCCTTGTCATATATCTTATCTTACCTTATCATATCTTGTGCTATCTTATCTTATCTTGTAATATCTTATATTGTCTTGTCTTATCTGGTGATTATCATTGGGAGGAGGGAGGCGCGAGCGGGAGGAAGGAGGAGCAGTGGGAGGCGTCAGAGTAATAACAAGAACCCCAATCCTTAGGATATGGGGAAAAACGACAGGAGGTGTTTCACCACTTTCGACCTCCCGGGGCCCCTACCGGGTCTGGGGGGGGGGGACCGTCAAAAACAACTCGGGATGAAAGACCAGTCCCGGGGAAGGGGGCCCACACCTCTGGGGGTCGAGGTTGCGAGAAAAAAAAGTCTGTGGTCCGGGATGGACACCCGCACGCGGAACAAGTGGAGACCCTCCCGCTGGATACACACATGCGGAAGCGCGGTCTACACGGCCATCGGGGGGCCGAGCGCCAGGAAGCCACCTGGTCACATGAGCGACGAAACGAAGCAGGTGATGGGCCAATTTCCGACCACCACTACCATAGGTACGACGGGGGAGAAGGAAGGATGGGAATGTCCTCCTCCTCCTCCTCCTCCTCCTCCTCCTCCTCCTCCTCCTCCTCCTCCTCCTCCTCCTCCGCCACCCTCCTCCACGTATGGTAGTGGTGGTGGAAAATCGGCCCATCAGCAGGCCTTCCGCAAGATGGCATGGCGACCATACGCCGCAGCTGATGAGGGCGGCCAGCGTGGCACGGTGCATTGGAAACAAGGGCGCTCACGCGCGACTTTACTACGCGGGGCAGCTTACGCACAATTGCCGGTGAACACGACCCCGTTTTGCTGCGTCGCTCACATGTGCATCCAGCTCTTGCCCAGAACAGCCGCGTCACATGGATCCAGCTTCCTGGTACACTTTCAAAGGTCCGCGCGCGTTTCTTGACTCGGCGCCGGAGCCCCCTACCTGGCGCTGGAGGCGCTGCCAAAAGCGTCGGGCGCAGATCCCACATATCCGCGCAGACCTTCGAAAGTCTACACTATAGCTATAAGCTTAGATGGTGTCTTCTTCGCCACAGGCCGTGGGTCTCGAGCAGCATGGCGACGGCGCCGGGGATACCTGGGGTGCGCCGAAGAGGGGCGCCAGGAAGAGAAGGGCTGGCGCACCACTGCCCGAGGCGTGCGCGCTGAAGAGAGGGGGTCAGGGAACGTGCTGAAAGAATAGGAGGGATACATGACATCTGCGAGACGTCATGGCCCCATCCATGGTCTCCGATATCCACGTGGGCATCCGAACCGATGTGTGTTCACAACGTGGTTCAGACCCGTTCCCCAGGACCAGCTTCTCACCCTGGATGATGTTTCAAGGTCCCCGGGCCTGGAGAAGGCCCCTGGAGGCCGAAAACTGCAGGACCTCTTCCAGGGTGCGTCCCGACGAGAATTTCGGTGCGAATCCAGCCGTGGCGACGAGAGCCTCCCAGGAGGCCCGCCACGGCGACACCAGGGGAAGGGCAGCGGCATCGGTACTGCTCCCTTGGGATTTGGACGCCCGAAATGGGTACGGAAACAATGGGCACAATGCCCAACAACAAATGTTGTCCCGAACCAACAGCGGCCGCTGTTGGGCAGGCGGCCTTCTGTCTCGAAGGGCCACAGGCCGCGGCGGCGTGGACCGCGAATCTTGTTCAAAATGAACAGGAACTGCTGTTGGGCATCGTGCCCACTCTTTCCGTGCCCATGTCGGGCGTCCAGATGGGAGGCCTCGACCCCCCCCTCGCGCCGCCCCCCGCCCCCGAGGGCGCCCGCGGCGGCGGCCCGGAAGAGCAGCTGCTCGGGCTCGGCCCGCGGCGCCTGCTCCCACGCCTCGTGGTCCAGCTCGCGCCGCGCGTCGGCGTCCTCCGGGGCCCCCGGCGCCTGTCCGAGGGCCCTCCTGCGGGGATGGACAGACCCCCCTTTAGTAAAACGTGGTTTCGTGAGAACGGCCTGAGGCCCAGACCTGGCGGGCGCGAGCCTGGAAAACGACGGCCACGGCGCCGCCTCGAGAACCGAACACGGACGATTCACGAATCGACGTGTCACTGCTGGGGGTTCTGTCCACCCCCGACTCCTCCGAGAAGGGAAGCGCCGGGGGAGGGCCGGCTCCGGGAGGGGGCCGAGCCGGAGGTCGAGGCCCGAGGCCTGCGGACGGGTTCGTCGGTGCTCGGCGGTGGCCGAGGCTCGGGGTGCCGTCCAGCAGCTGCGCCGCGCCGAGAGCTCTCTGCTGCATGGGGGGGTGCCCGGATCGTCCCGAGCGCCCGCCAGGAGGCCCAGCTATGGCCCCCCCAAGCCAGGGGGAAGCGTCGGGCCCCACCTCCTCCCGTGGCGAGCAAAAGCATGACGGGAGGTTTCTGGTCCTGCGCGGCCTCTGGGGGCCCTCGCCAACGCCTGGGACTGCCAACAAGAATACACGGGGTGGACAAGCCGGTGCCAGGGAAGGGGTCTATAGACCTCTGGGATCCGCGCTGCAGAAAAAAATCACGACGTCGGAGATCTGGGGGGCCCGCCTCAGGAAAGGAAACATCAACCCAGAATCGGCGACACATCGCCGACAGATCGGCGATAGGCCCCCTGATGACGAACCCATACGTGCCTGGGCGGGGTGGGCCATGGGGTCCATGTCGGCGATGAGCGGGCGATTGGGCGCCGATGCATCCCCTGGCTTCCGGGCCATGACTCGGCTCTCCGGCAGCCGTCCGGGACGATCTGAGCACCCCACGCTCTCGGCGCGGCGCGGCTGCTGGGAAGCACCCCCGAGACCGGAACACCGCCGGCACCCGACAAACACGCCCGACAACCTCGAACCTCCAACCCCATGTCGGCGGCGAGCCCTGGGGGGGGGGGGAAGTGAGAAGGAGAATGGCCTGCTCAGAAGGCTGGGTGGTCCCCCGGAGACAGAGGACACTCCTCAGGAGGCCGGAGGGCCTCTGGGAGGCCCCGCCGCCGAGGTCCGAGGAGGCCTGCGCCCTCTCCCACCCTCCCCATGGGCGCGCCGCCGGCCCGGAGCCCCTCCGATCCCCCCCCCCAACGCTGCCCCGGCTCCTCTCGGTCACCAGCAGCTTCGTGTAGTTGATGCGGAGGCCCGACGCCGCCGCGGCCTCGTCCTCCTCCGCGCTCGCCGCCTGGAAACCGGCGCGACGACGTCGCCGCCAGAGGCGGCCGCCCGGCCACCGAGGTCGACGGCGACGTCGCGAACGACGCCAACCACGGCGGCAACCACGGCGGCGGTCGGCGACGACGACGACGATGTCGCCGACGACGGCAACAACGGCGGCGCTCGGCGTCGACGACGACGACGCCAACGACGGCGACGGCGACGGCGACGGCGATAGCAACAGCGACAGCGGCGGCGGCAGCACGCCCAGCCGCCTGCGGGCTCGCGCGAAGCGGCCCCGGGTCGGCGGGCTCCCCGGCGGGAGTTCCCTCCTCCTCCTCGAGCAGGAGCCCCGCCACGCCCGACCTCTCCAGGACGTGGCAGTACTGCTGCAGCCTCGTTCTCGCCATCGCTCGGACGTCCATTCCCCGTGCATTGTTCGGCTTCATGCGTTCGTCTTTCGCACGATGGACCACGATACTCCTCGATGGTCCTCGCCGAGACAATATGCACACGCACGAGCGATGCCAAGCTTGAGGTGGCGACATCCGAACCCTACACCCACCAACCATCGATTATCCTGAATCGATGGGAGGCGGGGGTAGGGTTCAGATCTCGCCACATGTTAAGCAAATTCCGAACCCTACCCCCCCCCTCCCCGCCCAGCGAGCTGCCGGACTCGTGGATGGGCCAGGGAAGGCATCGGATTTCCCCGCCGACTCTGGAGGGTCCCAAATGAAGGGAAACTGGGACACACAAATAAATACACACAAATAAAAAGATTCCCCATATTTTCCTACATTTTCTGGTTTTTTGTCATCCCCCCCACTTCCCATACTTTCCCATATTTTCCTGGGGATCGACGATTAATCGTGTCTATGTGTTTTTTCCCCTCCTGACCAAAGCAGCGACAGACCGTGCGGTGACCACAAAAGTCCCGAAACCGTGCGGTCACCCCGAAATCCCCACCGACTCACCACGCAGCGTGGTCACCGCCCCGTTTGGGGGGCCCCCGAGGCCTCGGCGAGTGTATGAGGCGCTCCGGGGCCAGCGCGAAGGCCGCCTGGCCATCCGGCGCCAGGTCCGCGCCGCGCGCCCGCGCGCGAGCCGCGAGGGCGCGCGAGGCGCGCAGGACCGACACGGAGTTGCCCCCGAGGGCCAGGAAGTGGTCCTGGGGCCCCAGCGTCCCGCCGTCCACGCCCAGGACCTCGCCCCAGACGCCTGCCACGACCCGCTCGAGCTTGGTCAGCGAGTCGCGGTCGTTGGCGCGGTCCAGTCGCACGGCTGCGGAAGCTGCCGGCAGGCCCTTGCGGTCCAGCTTGCCCGTGCGGCCGAGCGGCAGGCGGCTCATGAGCAGGAAGTGCGTAGGTAGCATGTGCCTCGGCAGCAACTTGGCGCACCCTTGCAGAAGCAGCTCGGTGACGAATGTGTGCTCGCCCACATCGACCTCTCCGAGCAGTGCAGCGGCGGTCTCGGCCTCGAGCTGCACAAACGCATGCAACTCGCTGCCCTCGCGCAACAGCACGCAGCAAGCCCCGCACAGGCGCGGCGTGCCCGCTTTCAGCACCGCCGCCTCCACATCGCCGAGCTCAATGCGCATTCCGCGTATCTTCACCTGGGAGTCGAAACGGCCGTGCACCTCAAGGCCACGCTCGGGGCTCCAGCTGCCAGCGTCCCCTGTGCGGTACCAGCGGCCCTTCAGGCTAGGCGCTGGGTCCTCCAGGAAAGCCGCCGCAGATTTGTCCGGCCGCCGAAAGTAGCCAAGCCCTACCTGCACGCCGCCTTGGAGGATTTCGCCTTCGCGCCCTGGTTCCAACTCCCTGAGCATGGTTTGACCGATCTGCTTCCCCAAGGTCATGGACTTGGCCCAACTGGCCGACCTAGCCCCCTGGGTAAGGATATATGCGATTCCCTTCGGGATTCGCGGGACCTACCCCCACCTGGGCAGGAGCCTGGTGGGGCTGAGATGTAATGGCCCAATGGGGATGGGGATCGGTTAGACGATGCTGACTCCCGGAACTTCCTGAACTCGCCCTCCGTGTCCACAATCCTCATAGCGTTGCCGCCGAGGCACTGGCCCACGCGGGACGCGGAGTCGCCAGGTCGCATGACATGCACCGTCTGCCACACGGTGCACTCAGTCGTGCCGTACGTGTTCATAAACCGCAGCCGGTCCGCTGCTGCCCACGCCTCCAGAAGGTTGGCGCCCATGCGCTCGCCCCCGAGGCAGAGCCCCCTGAGGCCTGCAATGTCGGGGTGCTCCGAGTGTGCCCCCTCGAACGAGGACCACAGAGACGGCGTGCACGTCAGGTGCGTCACCTCCAGGCGGCGTATGACCCAGCCCAAGTGGGCGAAGAGCAGCATGCGAGACGCCACCGCGACCCTGCCTCCGACGGCCCACGTCGCAAAGATGTCCCCGATGGATGGGTCGAACGTATGGTCGGGTGTTGCTAGAAGTGCCCAAAATGCCCCCCCAGGACTTCCAAGGAGGCCCGCACTGCCCCCAGAGCACCCGTCACGAGGCCCAGAGGGCCCCATTGGCTCCAAAATGCAACGAAACACTGGGGACACTTTGGGCCGGGGGCACTTTTAGCAACCCCCGATATTGGCAGATGCCACCAACACCACGGAGGAGGCGTCGATGCCATGCGCCGGGTTCTTCACGATGCACCAGTTCGCGAAAGCGCCATGACTGATGAGGCAGCCCTTGGGCCTGCCTGTGCTCCCGCTGGTGTACCAGAGGTAGGCGATGTCCCCCGGCGCGGCGGCACCTTCGTCGCTGGGCGGCGCTCCCGGTGGCTGCACGGGCGGGGCCCGCAGCGGCAACACCGAGGACAGGTCGAACACCTCCAGCCCGGGGTGGCTGCCGGCCAAAGCAGCGGCGACTTCCAAGAGCTTCTTCGAGTCGCCCCAGTCCTTGGTCACCACGGCGGCCAGGGTCGGGATCTCACCCAACACGTCCGCCAGCCTCGCCACCGGGTCGTGGGGGTCCACCGGGGTCAGGCAGCACCCTGCCAGGAAGCCGCCGAGCTCTGCGATGGGCAGATAGGGCCCGTCGTCCACGGCTACGGCCAACACCGGCACGTTGAGCACCGCCGCGTCCTCCGGCACCGCTCGGCCCGCGACCGCCGCCGCCGCGCGCCTCGCGAGGGCGGCCACCCCGCGCGCGAGGGCCCAAACCTCCAGGAAGGAGAGGCTGTGAACGGCACGCTCCACGTCCAGGTACCTGGAGGCCCCCGTCTGGGCTCCGAATAGCCGAGATCAGAGGACCGCGCCGCATCGTCTATCGATCGCCAATCCATCGCCGATGCATCGGCGACGTCGGCGATGAGTCGGCGCCGTTGGCGTGAAGAAAATGGGAGGACTCCGCATCGCCGATCAATCGGCGATGCGGTGCGAACCTCCGACCCCAACAGAAAATCACACTCCTCACCCCCTCGACGGGTCCCCCTGGGTGGCGGCGAGAGTTAGATGATCGTGGCGAGAGATAGACTGGGGCGACACGGGCGGTCGGCGAGTGAGCGCCCCGAACACTACTTTTGGCACTCGCCCTGGGGGGTGTCTTGGCTGGAAGGAGGGGGGGGGCGCCGCGCTCGAGACATCCCGCCAAAACAGTCCGCCGTTTCACCCAACCACCCTTGGTCCCGGCGACACTCCTGAGGGGGCCTAGAAGAGATCCCGCGAGGGTGGCCCAGGAGGCGCCCGCCCCCGCAAGACTGCACATCCTGAGCGCACATCCCAAGCGCACCTAACGACCGAACGGCAGGCGGGGCTCTCGGAGGGGGCCCCCCATGTGCCTGGGGGAGGGGGGAGGGACGACTCTGGGGAGACAAACAAAAAAAAAATACCGATACCACTACTCCCCAGACCCCTCCCGGGGTGCGTTCTGACAAGAAGCTCGACGCACCTCCAGCGGTGGCGACGAGGGCCTCCCAGGAGGCCCACAAGAAAGGGGGAAACGAGGCGAGGGCAGCAGCTCCGGCACCTTGCCCTCCTCGGAGCCTCGGACCCCGTCTTGGATGGCCTGGAGCACCCGAGGGCCTGGCCGCGGGGCCGCTCCCGCGCGCGCGCGGCGGCGAGCTGCGCCGCGGTCATCCACGCCCCCGCGCATGCCGGCTCCCCCTGCAGCGCACGAGCCGCTCCGGGGCTGGCCCCGCTGCGCCAGGGGCCCCGCCGCGGCCACCGCCTGCAGGCCTCCAAGCAGCCTGCGCACGGGGTCGTCAAGTCAAACGCGCCGCCTTCGCTGCTCCTGGCGGGCGAGGAGGAGGACGTCGTCCCCGCTGTCGACGTCGTCGCCTCGTCCTCGCCCTCGTCCTCGCCGCCGGTCCGTCGTCGGTCCGCCTTCGTTTCCTCCGCCAACGCAGTCGGCGCTCGCTCTGCGCCGCCGCCGCGTCGTCTCGGAGCAGGGCGCATTGACACAACGGCAGCTCAAAATCGATCGCCAGACACCTCCCGGGGCTCAAACGCACCAATGTTCCGGGCCGCGTCCAGCCGTGGCGACGGGTAGGGGGGCCCGAAGGCCAGCTGCCACTGGCTCAACCCGCCCTCCCCTGATAGTCGTTGCGTCCATCTTCGTCGTCGCCGTCTTCATGGTCGGCAGCCTGCGCACGGCGGAGCCCGGGCGCCCGCCCCCTCGGCCGAGCCCGAGGCGCCCTGCATCGCCAGCGGCGCGCCGTGCCGACGCGGCGCACCGCGGCACCGCAGCGCCCTGCTCGCGTACTGGCCGCGCCTGAGCAGCAAAAAACGGCCAGAGCGACGGACGATGACCCTGCTGCTGCTGATGGTGGTGACGATGATGCTAATGATCGTGCTGGTAGTGGTGACGGTGATGACGGTGATGGTGATGCTGCTAAAGATGATGATGGTGATGATGGTGATGATAATGATTGTGATGACAATGATGCAGATGATGCTGATGATGATGACGACGATTATGATGATGATGATGATGATGATGATGGTGATGATGATGATGAAGGTGATGGTGATGGGAATGATGATGGTGATGCTGATGATGATGATGATGATGTTGATGATGATGATGATGATGATGATGTTGATGGTGATGATAATGATGATGATGATGACGATGATGATGATGAAGGTGGTGGTGATGGTGATGGTAGAAGTGATAGTGATGCTGATGGCGATGGTGGTCATATGCCGCTCGTGGTGATGAGTACGATGATGCTGATGATGACGACGATGTTGATGATGATGATGAGGATCATGATGATGATGATGATGATGACGATGATGATGATGGTGGTGGTGATGGTGATGGTAGAAGTGATAGTGATGCTGATGGCGATGGTGGTCATATGCCGCTCGTGGTGATGCTACGATGATGCTGATGATTATGATGATGACGACGATGCTGATGATGATGATGAGGATCAGGATGATGATGATGACGATGATGATGATGATGATGATGATGATGATGATGATGCAACTGATGATGGTGATGGCAGTGGTGATCGCGATGGAGATGGAGATGGAGATGGTGATGATGATGAGGAGGAGCACGGTGCTGCTGATGACGATGACGATGATGCCGATGGCGATGGTAATGACCTTGATGGTGCTGCTGATGACGTTGACGATGACGACGATGATTCCCATCTAAAGACAAGCGACATAGCTGTCATTGTCCATGCTGGGTCATACAGCTTGCGCCACATAGATGGCACCGCATAAACTGTACTGCATGGGTTCCTCTAGTAGTTGCAACATATTGGTCTAACCCTACACAAGACTGTACCACAAACAGCGCGTTTCAAGAGTGCGAGTACCCTCTGTTTTGGTGTCTACGCTGGCAAACTTTCAAAATGGATTCCCCCTGCATAGACACTTCCTTGAGCTTACGGCCCTTCAGTGCGGCGCTGTTTCTGGCAAAGATGCATGTATATTCTCTGTCGAAGCAAGGCTTCCACTTGAATAACAAGACGATGGGCCCTCGCTTTTCAACGGGGGGGGGGGCTTCTCCCAGAGCGGTCCAGAAGCGCGCCAAGAAGGCACCGAGAGTCCCCCAAGACGGACCAAGAAGGCTCCGAGTCACCGGACTTCGCTCGAAGAACCCAGGATAGCCTCCAGACGGCCCCAAACGCCTCCAAGACGCCCGGATATGCCTTCAAGGCACCTCTCCAGAGGCCCCCAAGAGGCAAAAATGGATGATTGTCCTACGATTGTTGACGGATTTTGGCCGCTCTCGCCTTTTCGGCTTCCTAGCGACCCACGACGGCCCGAAAGGCCCCCAAGATCGCCACAACACCGCTAAAAACGCCCCCAGGAAGACGGCTCCACGAGGGGGCCCCGACGAGGACAGGGAACGGACATTCCGCGCAATAGGCCTCGAGAGGTCCCCAGGAGACCCCAACAGGCCACCAAGAGGCCCCCGAGAGAACCCAAGGGCCCCCCGAGAGGCCCCCATGAGGCCCCAGGAGGCCCAAAGAATACAGCCAAGAGGCCCCCGAGAGCCCTCCCAAGAGACCCCAAGATGTTTCCCAAAGGGGCGTCTTGTCCACGACCAAGTTTGTCCCCAAAATGCCCCAAGAAACCATCGAGAAGCTCCCCTGTTAATCCTCCTCCTCCTCCTCGTTCTCCTCCTCCTCCTCCTCCTCCTCCTCCTCCTCCTCCTAATCCTCCTAATCCTCCTAATCCTCCTCCTCCTCCTCCTCCTCCTCCTCCTCCTCCTCCTCCTCCTCCTCCTCCTCCTCCTCCTCCTCCGTCTCCTCCTCCTCCTACAATCATCCCTCGCCACGGGAACGTCAACATGAGGCACCATTGATTCCGTTGGAACGCCAGGCGGGGAGTGTTGCGGTTACTCGAACAACCCCAAATTGAACATCCGCGGGCAACACGCCTCCACGAAGGCTCCGGAAGCCCTCCAAAAACGGGGAAAACCTAGAAACCCAGTGAAAAACAAACGAGTCCCCCGACAACGCCTCAGAAGGTCCAGACGAATCGCCCTGAAGCTGCTCCCCGGGAGCTGCTTCAGCCTCAACGTTCATCATTCCGACCACAACGACTCAGAAAAACAGCCCCCACCCCCGCAGCTCCACACTGCCAACGACCACATGGCCAGCCGACGGCGGTGCGACAGTGTAGGCCAGCGGAATGAGCGAAGCGATTCAATAACAGGACGATGGAGCTCTCGCATTTCAACGAGTGGGGCTTCCATTAATGAAAATGATTCCCTGAGGTGGCCCCATCGAGGGACCCCGAAACGGTGTGGTCGTGAGTCAGTGGGGGATCGGAGTTACCGAACGATTTTGGGCTCGGGTCGTTCTCGGAAGACGTCTCAGGCGATAAGGGCCTCCGAAGTCCCAAGACCGTGCGGCGACGGACCGCGCGGTGAGGCCTTTCGGCATCTAGGTCACCGCGCGACCCGTCACCACACGATTTTGAGACACCCGACGTATAACCAGGGGGCTCGGGACGGAAGATTGCGCGTCGTCACGGTGGAGGGGCTCAAACCCCGCGCCCTGGACTGGCAATGGGGTTGTGCCGTTGGGGCCCTGGTCCTCAGACGAAGGCAGAATCGCGAAAAAATCAGGCCGACAAAAAACGGAAACATAATTATGAGAACAGGCGGGCTTGGAACACGTCTCGGGCGCAGCGGCCTTCCAAGAGCGTTCCAGAACGCTCTGAGAGCGTTCCAGAGCGCTCTGGAACGGATTGATCCTCGCCCTAGCCCCGTAGTCTCTCACGACCTCCATCTCCGCTTGCGGAGCGAAGTGCCACCATAGGCTCCTCGACCCGACTTGACTTGACTGCACGCCGGTCGGAAGGAGTGGGTGGAACCATGAAGTAGGAAGGCGTTGGAAGTAGATTGGGTCTCCGCCCGCCCCCTGAAGACGAAGGACGAAGGAAAACCGCGCGATCCTTGAAGCAGGAAGGCGCCTAAAGTAGATTGGAAAAAGGGGTGTTGGCGGCGCGCACAAGGGAGCAGGGGGAGGCGGGAAAGCACCTTAGAAGGAGGCTGCTTCTTAGAAGGCGCCGGCCCTGCGACCACAGACAAGGCCCGCACCTGCTGAGAAGCAGGGG